CCCAAGGGCTACATCCTAGAAATAGACATTGAATGACTATCAGCTTTCTCCTAAGACCATGATAGTTCTGAAGGATTTGCTTCGCTAATGTCATCATGCTTTCATGAGCAAATTTGGGATGGGATAAGTTCATTGCAGGTGCGTTGCTAGTTAACTGTATACAAAGAAGAAGCATCATTTGGTTTATTACTGAAACCTACAGCTACAGCGTGTTACCGTACTTAATTATATAATTTAATGTACGTAATACTATCATCCAGGTTAAAGAATGTTTTAAAATTCTGTTTTCTTTATTGTATATTTGTAATTATCTATAATTAATCCTATGTACCTTGATTTCTTTCGTATGAATCCAAAATGACTGTATAGCTAGATGAGAAATAACTACTGGGTTGCTATCCTATGCAGGAGTGCATATGACACCGAATCAGTAGCATCACTTTGGGGTTACGTGTGCTTAGTGGTCATGGAATGTGGGCTGTTATGTGCAGGCAAGGCGATGGGTGCGGTTTACCCGTTGACCTGGGTTCACGAATCTTTGTCTGATGTGTAGCTATCAATACGGTAACATCTCTGCCCTTCTTGAAAAGCTACTTGCCCTGAATAAGCCCAGGAAAAGTATCAATCACGAAAAAAAAATTTGCGCGCTAGCACAGTGGGTCTTGACATTAGAGTAAATACTGACTGCTGGCCCTGTGAAGCCCCAGTTTGCATAGGGTTTTAGGTAAATAATTTCATAAAATTTCCTCACTGGTTACACTGGCTATTTAATAAAGACCTTGTATATCTTAGGTGTTGTTAAAGAACTTTTAATTCCCTTTATCTAGGTGGATGATTGATGAGTCTCATTTTGGGTTCCGGAGTATAGAGCTTGGGCTCGCATCAGATGTGCTCGCATAGAAAAGATGTTTATATCGCTTGGTCATTTGCACTTTCTGGATTTCAGAAGTAAATCGTGAATAAAGAGCAGACATTTTTTACTTTTCAGATTATTCGTAATTTATTCCTTGCACTTTCTGAAGCTGGTGTGGCCTACTTTGGAGAAATTCGCTTTTCTTATTAGAATCAGTGCTTAACATAGTGTACTTTTCATTAATTCAGGTTAATATTTCAAGTACAGGGGAGCAACCATTTTGGTCTACTGTATGATTATATCATATGCAGTTTATACATGTACAATATCCAAATGTCAGCCACAATACATCTAAGTAGCATAGAGGCACGTCAACAGTCTCTCTCTCTCTCCACTGTGTGCGTTGCAAGTGCAAACAACTTCACCTTACAGATGTCATTCTTTAAAAAGTACATAATAACTGATGAGCACCACACTTAGTAAAGGATGGATATGACGTCACAAATTTACACCAGAATCCGCTAGCGGTACAATCTGGTCATTCTCACTCGAAAAGATGCACTTATCCAATGCAATATACAAAATGGTGCATCAGTTTTGTGCAATATGAGCGTTTCCATAATAAAAATACAGATGATCGGACGGGTGTTCAGTTTTATATTAATTATATCTCTGGTGAAGGGTAAACAATGCGTAGAAAAGGAAGTTTTTAACTACGCGCGCAGATGTCATGTCAATTGATGATGTGCATGATGTTATCATTTGCAGCAAACATTATGAAAAGGATGATTAAATAAATTTGCGGACGATTATTCGAATATTCGCAGTGAAATCGTGTGGCCACAAGCCAGTTCAACTCGAGGATTTATTTTCTGATGCCAGCCTTATTTTAGAAATAAAAATTATTCTCCTCAAACTCCAGTCTCCACCTCTAATACGTAAAGCCATCCAACAGATTTCAAATCGCTGAATAGCTTACAAACGAAAGTGACAAATCGTACATTTTCTCAAGCTATTTGAAGGTCACTCCGCCACACACACACACCAAAAAAAAAAACCATAAAGCTCTCAGAAGAGTAAACTGATCGGTCTTCTGATATTAGTGATATTTTGCTTAATCAACATCAATACCATGATGATGGCGATGATGATGATAGCAAAATCAAATTAAAATTATATTGTGCTGGCTACACTATCAAATAGTACTTCAGTACTCTCGCAACGTCGTGGTCTACTATCCGCTGTATAGTTGACTTGTACGTCTGGAAGATACCCGGATATAACGCGATGACGTCACGACATCTTTTCCGACATGACCTGGTCTAAACTGATCAATGATCTAAATAACTTAAAAAACCCAAAGTCTGCGAAGGCCTAATCTTCTGGCTCATAAAAGGGATCATGAAAGCCAAGTTAGTGGCGAGAAGACACGTGTAAAAGAGCTAGCTCTGCCAAAATACTTGCTTTAGTTGCTCTTCCGAAAGGAAAATTTATCGGTCCTTTTTATAAAGGTTTCTCGTTTTGCAAAGCAAATAGAAGTCGTAACGAATACTAAGCTTGCCAGAAAATAATATAGACCGTAAGTTTAGTAGAAGGCTGTGGCAGCGGTCAAAAAGCAGTCTGAAGACGCGAAAGCCGCACAAGATGTTGCCAGAATGTGGCTCAAAATAAGGGCAAATGTTGACCAGAATGCATGCCTTTAGTGTCCACCAACAGTGGAGCATATTCAAGTTGTGCGCATCGAGTTCGACCCTGTGAGATAGATGGGTTTTCTTGTGAATGCAGTTAAGGAACCTTATGATAATCTAGCACCATGTATAATGTTTGATATACAGAAAGAAAGCAGCTTATTTAAGAAATTTTGATTCTCAATTTTAAGGATCTTATATTTTGGCATATATATTTTATTTTATACATATACTAAGATCTTTCATCTTGTAAAACTTCGTGTTTATCTTAATTTGGAAGGGTTTAACTTACTAACGCGCTATTATTTATGTTCACGTTTTTATAATTCTATTTTTAATCAGCAACATAATCGGTATTGTGCTGGCCTGACATTAAGTGCTAAGGGGCGTTACATTACTTGCTAACTGGCCAGAGATTAAATGCTAATTGTCCTGACATTAAATGCTAATAGAGAATGCAAATCAACCATAGTAATCTGTTCGTATTTTTCCATCGCCTGCTTAAAAACGACATTAGATGTGAAAGGTAGCAACTTTTCAACTGCTCTTATATTCGTTGTTTTTATATCATGCTTAGTTTCTTGACTTCACATCTCGATTATTCTTTGTTTTTATATCATGCTTAGTTTCTTGACTTCACATCTCGATTATTCGTTGTGTTTATATCATGCTTAATTTCTTGACTTCACATCTCGATTATTCGTTGTTTTTATATCATGCCTAATTTATTGACTTCACATCTCGATTATTCGTTGTGTTTATATCATGCTTAGTTTCTTGACTTCACATCTCGATTATTCGTTGTTTTTATATCATGCCTAATTTCTTGACTTCACATCTCGATTATTCGTTGTGTTTATATCATGCTTAGTTTCTTGACTTCACATCTCGATTATTCGTTGTGTTTATATCATGCTTAGTTTCTTGACTTCACATCTCGATTATTCGTTGTGTTTATATCATGCTTAATTTCTTGACTTCACATCTTAATATGTCTCATCGCTTATAATACCATAGCCAATAGTTACAGGCTATGGAATCAGAATGATGTATGCGGACTTATCATTGAAAAGTTACTTGAATAACGATAATACATATATGTGAAGGCAATTTATCGTTTGTTGAAATATAATCGAATGCTATTTTAACGCATATATTACATCATGAGGATGCACTGTTCACATAGCTGGCCTAAAGTTGTCAACAATAATTTTACTAATTTTGACGTATCACAATTATTTCAGAGAGTCGCGTTATTCAGCTCACGTCAGAAAGAGTCATTAATGTTCTGAATCTATTTGCAATTGCGTCACTGGCTTATGCCGTTTAAGAATCTATCTGCATATTCAATTTGCAGATTATAGGATGAGAAAAAGCAGTAAATAAATGCGCCGCTTCTCCGATTAAGTGGATATATTTTGATTATGTCGTTTACAAAGGAGTGACGCTGTAATGTGTATGACGTAAAAAATCGTTCGACTAACTTAGATCTAAATCGATCCAGCAACTTTGTTCCTGACTGGGATCAATTAGGTTTTTGTTTGCTTTGAATGTGTGTATTGACATGCATTGTTTGCATTTTTAAATTTATATTTAAGTCTAGCTCCAGAAACTTTAAGGTGCCTTGCTTTCGTTCGCTTTGTTTGTTTCTTTCTTTGCTTGCTTTTTTAATAACACAGATTCTAGTTTGGCTTTTCTTTAAAAAGAAATAAAAGCCGAGGCGTGCCGTGTTACCGAGGCTATTGCGTCACTAAATTGCTCTCAAGTGACATAGGTAAACAACGCTGATGCCTCCAGAGACAGTATAACCTGGGTCAGCCTAGTTTTTAGGTGTTCCCGTGAAATTTTTATTGTTGAATTCTTGCGAATATAGGATAAAAGCTAATGTGCTACAATTTCCAGCTCAAGACCTTTCTTTAAAGAGATTGCTATTACTTTTTCAATTCTTCTGACAAAGGAAGAAAAAAAACAAGTGCAGATGTTTCTGACTAAAATTACAGATGACCAGCTTGTGATGATAATGGTGTTTTGTGAAAAGCAATACGTGCCACTTGGGGAGAAGTTTGTTCGCCATTTGGAATCTAAATAGTCGTTTACACCATAACACTTAAACATACGTGAAGGAAAGAGCACATGTAATAGACAGAGCATATGTCAGAACTAAAGAATACGTCATAGCACGGGCCAGTAGCAGACAGAAAATCCCTTGCTAATGTACCGGTCCAAACATGGATGTGAAGCTGCAGAGGTTCAGTGGTTAAGGCGGTGAAAGGATGACCTGAAGGTGCAAGATTACTGGCTCAATTGCCATATTGCTACTCATGTATAATAAAAACCGTGTAAAGCTTATGTTAGTATGTTAGGTGATCATAAACTGGAAAGTTGGAAATAAATGTAAATTTTATCATACGTGGAACGTTTTCGATGAATTGTCAAGGAAAAGTTGATGAAAGCAACAC